GTGTCACTGGCCCCATTGGTAATGCATGACCCTCCTGCTAAAATATGAATGTGCCAGGATAGATCTTTAAACGTGCCAATGGAAAAATGCATAAAAGGACTGTGTGTGCCAGCTAGAATGTGGAAATTTGTGTTAGTAAGACATGCAAAGTTAGAGTGGGGCACGTAAGACAAAATAATAATGGAAAAAAAGGCAAATCAGGTATGAAAAAACACCATATTATGATTTTTTTTAAAAAGCTACGTAAATCGTTTACGGTAGATAAGTCAGAAGTTACTATGCAAAATCAACTGTATGGAGCTTTCTACCATGTTATAATGTTGTTCCCTCATCAAAAACATGCCTGAAGAGGTTTAAGATGTCATCCATGCATGTTTGAGTAATTTAGTGATCTCTCTCAGGCCCGTCTTTGAACATTCCTTATGGTTAGCTGTAAGATTCTGTTCAAGCCCACAAGCCTACGTCACCGTTTTCCATAAATATTCTAAAACAAAACACAAAACAATACACTACAACTTCACAAACCTGATGCGATGTGCAGTAATTTCATTACGTTGTGATAGCGCTCTGAAGGGGGAGTGACTTAGCGCGAGGAGTGAAGGGAAGGTGGATTTAGAGTGCCAAAAATGAAACTGAAACTTGTCGGTCATGATAATCTAGACAGGATAATAAAAACAATTTAAAAAAAGAACATACTGCTGTTGTGTCATTGGGCAAGACACTGCGCTCACCTTGCCTAAATGTATGAGCCTACTAGTGGTGGTGACAACAATGCACTGGTCGGAGCTGAGATAGAAACGCCAACTTTTAACCAATCGACGTCTAAAGGAGACCGAAAAAAAATGACGCAAAAAAAAAGATTCATATGAAGTTAAATTTTTATCACGTTGGTAAAAATAAAACGAGATAATGTTCGCTAAACAACACTTGTTAATTGATGTCATTCTTGTGAAACCTTTGTGTGTACAGACTTGTAATTATCTCCGCGAGCGCCCCCACACTGATCACGATTCATTTTAATTAACTGACACATTCCGTTATTTTTATCTACCAATTTATCACAGCTGAATTCAACTGTTAAAAGTGAAGTCTTTAAGGGGAGGTTTTACATTGGGGACTAGGGCAAAAACAGATAGCGTCTCAAGTTTCGAATAAGAGGATTTGTCAGATTATTGGATTAGTTTACCTGAGGATGGCGATGTTAATGCGATGTTAGTCCTGCTGTTTTTGCCTAATGTTAACGTATAATCTTCTTATATGAAGACTTTAAAATATAGCATGGTTGGTAGAGTAGCCTAAAATTGTACTTAAGTAAGAGTAACATTACTACAACATAATATTACTCAAGTAGAAACACAAAGTAGTCCAAGAAATCAAGTAAGAGCAAAAAAATATATTTAAAAAAGTACTACACAGCTACTAAACTAAGAGTTACTGTCAACATCTGGTTTATAATTTCAAATTAAAGGTGCATTGTGCAACTTTTCTGATGGAGCATTACTTGATTGCGTCCCTGGAGATGTCATTGCTTTGCCTGGAATGTTCCACAGTATGACATTAAACATCTCTGTTTTACATTTACTGAATTCCAGGTGGTTTTATAGCTCAAAAATACCTAGATAATATACATTCTGACTGTGAGCGTGGTCACCTCTCCACAGATCTGGCCTGTAACTTGGTCTAGTTTGGTTGACATGAAAATAGAAAGGTTTAAAACCAAACGGTGAAACATTCCAGAAAAAGCAATAACATCTCCACGGAGAAAAACATTTGATAGGCCCTCCACCAGAAAGTTACACAATGCACCTTTAACGTAATTTGGCGAACAACATGTTTAAAAAAAAAAAAATTGCAAAAAGTGTGAAGGAGTGCTGCAAGAAACACAAATATTCAGATCATTTCATATTATCCTCATTAACCTTTTGTCACTTTAGACTTACTAACAGTGGTAACCAAAATTTATACTGAAGTAAGAGTAGTGTTACTTCAGTGAAAACATTACTCAAGTAGTAAAGGAGTAAAAGGATGCTGCTAGAAAAGCACTCTGAAATGTGCAATTTCTTTAAAAATTACTTGAGTAAATGTATCTACGAAAGCTTGTATTGATGTGAGAAGGCTAACCACTCTGCCGCCTATTTTGTGAATCATTAAATCAAACTCATACGTCAATATGTATAAAAATATGTTAAAGGTACAGTTGCTAACTTTCTGGAACAGGCACGTCACTGTCTATTTTGGGGCTAAAACGTTACATAGTATGGCATTAACAAAATGCATTAAAAGCTGCTTATCTGATCAAATTTCTAATGCAAGTATAATACAAATGACTTAAAATTCAAAAACATTTTCAATGTCAGTGAAAATGTAAAAAGCACTATAATGTGATAATATAATCCAAATTCCAAAAAGCATGAATAAAACCTAATATCTATATCAATTTCTAGCTTCAACCCTTATGAATTTACATGTGAGCTTAACAAGAGACTGAGACTAAATGCAGAGTCACAAAAAGTTGAAATTCCTCCCATATCGCCGCTTTGACAATAAGTAGATTTCACGACAAAAGACAAAAGTTTGGTAAAAGCTCTTTAAATGTATTACAAATGAAGTGTGCGTTTTTCATTCTGAAGAGAGGGTATTATGCAGAAATGACTTTGTAGCTTTCCACCATGTTAGAACATTGTTCCCATGCCTGAGGAGGTTCTAAATATCATGCATGCATGTTTGAGTCATCTAGAGATCTCTACCGGGCCCTATTCGAACCCTCTTTACGGTTAGCTCCACTCACAAGCCTACATCACCCCATGCCCTCATGCAAAACAATACACCACAACTTCACAAACCTGATGCAGTAGTAGGAGTAGTAGTAGTAGTAGTAGTAGTAGTAGTAGTAGTAGTAGTAGTAGTAGTAGTAGTAGTTGTTAGGAGTGTAATGGTACATATATTCGTGCCCAACCATTTTGGTAGGGCTGTGCACAAATGAATTTGCGTAATTTGTGTGTGTTTGAACTCGTCCGTGATTGGGGTTGCTTTGATTCCCACTGTGCTTTATAGTTAGGACGGCCATCCTAACAACAATTGCCCCCCGCCTTGACACCTGGGGACACTGCACTTACTGCAGACAATGTGGACAAGTTGTTTTTTCTGTCCAAAAATATGAAGATTGAGTAAAACTTCATTTTTTTAATAATATTTCAGACATTTGTTGCTTATTTGAGAATATTTTATTTAACTTATTAGTATTACGGAGCAGCATTTTGCATTTATTTTATTTTCCTGTTTGTATAATGTTAAAACAAATTTTTGGTTTAATAAACACACAAATGGGTTTTCATTTTGTTCCCATACTGTACCAAAAATGAACCAAACCATGACCTCAAAACCGAGGTACATACTGAACCATGATTTTGTATACCGTTACACCCCTCGTAGTAGTAGTAGTAGTAGTTGTTGTTTCATTAGAATGATGCACACCAATTGTAATGTGATAGCTCTCTGAGGAGGGAATGAAAAGCAAAAGAAGGGGGATAAAAACTAAACTGAAACTTATTCAACATGTTAATATGTTGTTTTTACATTGTTGTCAATGAATAAAGCATTTTCAGAACAATAAAAGGTAACATGGTGATCTAAATATGTAATTTTTATATGTTAATACCCCATAGAAGTAAAAAAAAAAAAAAAAAAAAACTTAAAAAAAACCCTTCTAAGCTTCAGTAGCCTATCTTCTCACCATTAAATTTGTATTTACCATGTCTTACACCTCGTCTTTGCTCTTTTCTGAATATCAGTTCAGCACTAGATTCATTTAACACTTTCTACTGAGCTAGTGCAACCTCTGTCACTTTGGATCACTTTAAAAACCGAACAGATTTCCTTTCCTCCGCTGGCAGACCGGTCGGATGTGAGCGCAGACGGAGGTGTGAAGCCACGAGAGCAGCCAGCGAATACCGTGACGGGAAGTGTTTTGCTATGTGTGCTGCAGTCCAGTTAGTGAGCAGTCTTGAGAGGTGAGAAGGTCCACTCTGCTCCTCTGGTCACTGTGGAGGTAGGCTCGGCTCTCCGAAAATGACTAAAATCTGATATGTCTGCAGTATAATGGAGGAATTTTCAGCAGTTACCATGGTGACACAACGGACATATTAGCAAACAGAGCCTGGTAAGTTTTTAGAAGGTCAGAAAACGCAAGAAACACAAGTGTTCATGGTCTTGTTGGCTAGTGGTAGTAATGTTTTTGAAAATGGATTTGTCAGTTTTTGTATGGTCAAACTGTTAACACAAAGCAGGATTTAAAGTCTAAGGTGAGTAACAGATGCTGCGTTCTAGCCACCGGAACTTGGACCTGAATGAATGATGTAATTTCCAAATTAATCTTCAGATGCTAAGACGATTACAAGAAAGACTCAAAAAATATATAAAAGCCAAAAATGTGGATCCAATTCAAAGTGTGCTATGTACCTTGTTGGTTGGGGATCTGTCACCTGCTTGTTTCTGTGGATATGTCATGGCTTTGCTTGGAATGTTCCACAGTATGACATTAACCATCTCTACCTTACATTTATTCAATTACAGGTGGTTTTATAGCTCAAAAACACCAAGAAAAACAGGCATTCTGACTGTGAGTGAGGTTGCTTCTCCACAGGTCTGACCTGTAACTTGGTCAGGTTTGGTCTTCATGAAGATAGAAAAGTTTGATGCCATACTCTGAAACATTCCAGACAAAGAATACCATCTCCGAGGATCAACAGTTTATAAAGCGGAGTTTGACAGTGAATTTCTGCTTAAAAACTGTAAAATAACACAAGTACGAGCGATCAGACTGGAACGCACCAAGACCATCGGACAGAGTTGTGCCTCGAGTTAGCACACATCCACAAAGAATGAATACACAACAGTATGAATACGTTGTACCAAAAACAAAGCAAAGACAGGCAGTTGAAGTGATCCAACAGCAACATTCACACAAAATTCAGCAGCCAACAGTGCGCTCCGTGTCCTACCTGGTCCTGCTGGTACAGTAGTCTCTCCATCATGGGGTGGTTGGCGCTGAGGGAGGAGCGGGTCATCTCTCTCTGGAAGTGTGTGGACCAGCCACTGGCATCACGGGGCAGGCTGCGGTAGGCATGAGCACCCCGACCCTGCACACAAGGAAGACACACTTTTGTTCAGCTCGTATACAACAAAACACCTTTAACCATGATATAAGAAGTAGCCTTTCTAGGATAGTAATGGTGCGTTCGATTATATATCAGTCTTCCACTCAGATCTCGGATATGATGTCATGTCCACACTTCAAGCGTTTTATTATGTTTCGTACATAGACCGTATATATGAATGGACATAGCTAACATTGGACGCCAACCAGAAAGCTGCTATTGCCGTTGTTGTGTATCTTCTGTTAGCAACCCTAGGGACGCTTAGCAAAAATCAGTTTAAAGCACATTGTGTGGCATTTTTTGCATGAAAAGCGTTCCATAAATAAAGTTTGATTGACTGATTGAAAACAAATCTTTGTTCAATATTGTCCTCACCACAACACCAAGTACAAAACCCATAGGCAGTGATACAGACGCAGTAAGGTATTGCAGTAATACGAGTTACTGAAATTGTCATTTAAACCACTAAAGCTTCAAACTCAATCAAAACAGTTCGGACTTCAAAGTGACACTGGGCACAGCCATCTTGGATTCTATCTCGGAATCCTTGCTCGGTCAGTTCTTCCGAGTTCCAAATTCCACCGTCCAAGAAAAAGGCACGTGCCAGTGCATGTCGCTAGGCAACGTCCTCGCACCTCCGAGTGGGATGGAGAATCAAATGCACTGTATTACTCAACATTAAAGGTGTACTATGTAACATTTCTGCCTGGCATGTTCCACTGTATGGCATATAAAATGGAAACAAGCGGATGCAAAAATAAATGTTTCTCAAGGAACTTTTTTGCACAGTAAAAACTGTGTACATGTTTTTGCTATCTACTGTTCCTGGTGCTTTCTATTTTGGTATTTTTAGCGCAAACATGGTCAATTTGCAGCTTTCTGGCCAAATAATGTTTAAAAACAACTTTCCGGGCTTCAGTGGCCATTGGGAGGTTAAGTAGTTGGTGACATCACTTAAAACTGTCCTGATTACAGCCAGATGTGTCTGATTATAAAACATCTGTCTGCAGGGGGTTTGAAGTGTGGATACCTGTTAGATCAATCACACTGTTCAGTCCTCCAGGTACAGCCTAGTTTAACAGCTCTATCTGAAATGTGATTGTGGGCAGAGTTTGTGTGTTCAGTTTTAAACACCCAAACTTTAAGTCAATTTAATATAGGTGAATTTAATGTCATATGGTGGAATATCTAATGCAAACTAATAACATCTCCATTGATACAAGCAAAGTAAAATAATAGTGCATCATTAAAAAGTAGTCAAAACAAGTGCAGGTTGGACAATCTAATCTTATAATTAAATACAAACTCTGAGATGTGGTGGTCTTGCTTTATGCCTATTAATTACAGTACACCCTGCAATTATGACACACTTTTTACACCACAGTGCAAATAAACCCATCTCCACTCCTCTCCTCTCACTCCACTAATCACTCACTCTTCCCTCTCTCCGTCCTCTCAGCCGCTCGGACGGGGCATCTGTGGTAATTGAATTCTGACATTTCAAAGTGAGAGCTTGTTAGTTAGCTCGCCTTGGGTTGGGTTCCTCACACACACACGCACACACACGCACACACACACAGACATACACACGCACAATGGTCCATTTCTCACTCCATTTCACCTCCTCTCTCTGCTAACCCCTGGCTTATATTAAGACTTCTATTTAAAGTGCATGTGACAGTTTAGACTCATTTCACTAAAACATAGTTAACGTCATTTTACTTAAGCTTTCACTAAAAATCTTTACCATTTTACTTCCTGGTTTGACATGTGTCACACATAGGCAGAGGTAATTTCATAACGGTTACCTAGCAACTATAATGTAAACAAGGGCCAAAAATACATTACACAACAGTGATGATTTAACAAATGAGTACAACTTCATTTTGTTAAAAGAAGGTTTAAACTGTCCAAAAAATGCCTTTCTTGTGTGTAAATTGTCTCTGAATTTTGGATAGAATTTTCAGTGTTGATGACATATATAGGGGGATTCTGTTTTAGAACACAGTGCTACTTCCTGTATCTTTAAAACCTGGCTCACGTCAGATTGATATTTGTGAGTGCGTATACATGTGCTCAAGTATTCCAGTTATGATCAGGGTTTTTTGAGTATCCTGGTTTGGTGTGACCATGTAAACGCATTATCCTTATTTCAGTCTCCTGGATATGCCAGTGTCCCGGTGATGAGAAACCAGGAGACACTCACTGGGTTTTTCTGAGAGTATCCAATATACTTTTGCCTGTAGACGTAGTATCCTGATTTCTCAAAACTGGGGCTGTACTGAGCATGTGAAACAAAAACAGAAAGGAGCAATTGCTTTCCCAAAAAGACTCAAACTGCTACTTGTAAACAGAATAAAGCAGTCTACCATTTAATACAGCCACATTTTAACACCAGGCTCACCTTTGTGGTGGTTTGTGTTGCTCTTGAACCAAACTGACTCTATGAGACTGTTATAGTCAGGGGCTCCACACATTTAAGATTTTTTAAAGAGTTTTTTAAGACCACTTAAATGAAAATTAAGACCAACATCACACCCATTAAGCGGGAGAAACATCAGATCGAATTCTAATAATGACCAACCAACTACCAGTACTATATCGAGTATCTAAGAGCCACTGTGGATTAAACCTACACTTGCCCATGATCCGTCTTCCTCCACTCTACTGATTGTTTACACATTGCCGCCTGCACCAGAAACCAAAGTATTGTTGCACATATTCCAAATTAGACGTTCATTCATGTTACATGATTTCATGTTGTTGTTTTTTTTCACCTTCCTCTGTTTAACATTGCACTGCAGCCCAGTTGAGTAACAGTTAATGAAATTTGAGACTTTTGTGAAAAAAATAAGACTTGGACAACATAATTTAAGACTTTTTAAGGCCTTAATTTAGGAACATGAAATTTAAGACCTTTTTAAGACCCCGTTGCTACCCTAGTATTTCTCAGTTGTTAAAAACGACTTTAACTGAAGCTGTGACAGTGCTCCACAGTCTCATTAGAAACCTGTTAAAAGCTAAGTTAACAAAGTTTTAATCTCCTTGCCATATCTGTAGCATAGTTATCATAGCAACGAGTCTAAATATCCAGCATACTCTAATGGCGCATGAATACAGGGATATGAATATCTGAGTTTCTCTGAGCGCAAGTAAACACCATATCCAAAACACTGTCATAAACCAGGATAAGGCTCATAACCGGGACACTGATGCACATGTAAACAGACTCTGTGTCACTCTCAATCAAGTTCTACACATTGTCAATCTGGAGCATCTTGCTAAGATGTATTCTCGTGTGTTTGTGACCTCGCAAGAATCCATGTTACTGTGCAAGGTTAGTATTTTTGTACTTTTCTTCTCAACTTTCTCCACAAACTGCCACTTAACGGATGTAAAACTATGATAAATATTCAGCACAGGTACAATCCACCAAAGCAATTACAAATTAGAAAAACATGAAAACCTGTCACCTGGACTTTAATAGGCTTGACCGTAGCTTTATCCACACTGCACAAGTGTCTCAAACTCAAGGTAATGTCAAATAACACCATTTAGCTCGCTAACACAAAGCTAAAAACACACTTGATTGCATTTGTTAGTAGCCTTGGATGGAGTCTAAGCTAGCTCAAGGTCGCCGCTATCTGAGGCAATTTGAATAAAATGAAAGAATATTAAAAGGGAATACATAAGAGGAGATGAGAGTTTGTGGAGATGGAGCGACAAAATGGGATTCGTTTATTGTTTAATGAGCTGTGAAAGTTTGTGAGAGGAGAAGGAAAAGGCCCAAGTGCTGTGAACGAGATAAGCATAAACAAGTCCCTGTAAAATATAATAGAAAAATCCCTGACTAAACACTAGATCAACTTTTTGCAACTAAACTGTGTACATGGTCTTTTAATAGCGTTGTTTACTGTTCCTAGTGCGAGTCCCTGCAACTTTGTGTTCAAAAACAGTCCAAAAGTTTGTGCTGCCTTCAGTGACCACGATTTCGAGTACTACATAACAACACACAGGACTGCTCTGATTACAGCCAGATGTTTCTGATGCAAACACCGGGCTAACTCCGCCCCCATAGCCAGGTGTTTGCATCAGAAACACCTGGCTATGGGGGCGGACTATGAAGTGTAGATATCTGTTACATGAACAAGGCTATGTTTATATGATGACAGTCTGCACAGAAGACACAAAAGTGGCGTCGCGTCCTCACTTTTTATTCCGCGTTTAGACCAGCGTTTTCAGGAGGAAATCTGCCTGCATATGGTGACGCAAAAGTGTGTGTGGAATTCGATTGGGTATGCATGCCAGGTGGTTAGGTGGTGACACTAGGTGGTGATGTATGTGACGTAAACATGTACGCAACGTGAGCAGATCTGACAACGTTACGACGGAGGGTCTTCAACTTTTATACTCTGGAGGGTGGTTTCAGATTTTTGCATTTTTAAGCCCCAAAAACGCTGTCACTGTCTATACAAAAGGCACTTCCGATAAAATATTTTGTCGTTTTTACCCATAAGCGTTCTCATGTAAACAAGCCCTCACACTGTTCCTCTTCAAGACCTCGCCCCCTCCTCACTCTGTCCTTTAGTCCTCCAGGCCCCGCCCTCCTCTCACTTGAAGCACAGTGGAACTTGTCTCGTGCCTGTCTCACTGGAGATGTTATTGCTCTGCCTGGAATGTTCTACAGTATGGCATTAAAGTTATCTTGCATTTATTTCATTAAAGGTGTTTTTATTGCTAAAAAAACATTCTGTATAGACCTTTTTCACAATGGCTGAAAGTGCTGCGTTTTAACTTCCAGTTAATTGTTTTCTGTGGCAAAATGTCTGTGGAAATGTCTCGCATATTCTCTAGCAGCTTCATAAATCTGCCTCATCACCAAATCTTCAACCAACAAGGTCCACAAAGGATAAACATTCTTCCATGAAGAATTTATCCACAACTATCAAGGGAAGAAAGACGAAAGCTTAAAGGCAAACAAC